TTTATTATAATTACTTTTTTTTTTAAATATATATATATATATTATATATATATATATATATTTATTTATTCATTTACTTTTTAATAAAAAAAAATTAATAAAAAATAACATGTATTGTAAATGTGAGCTGGGTCCAGTCTCAACAGATCTGACCTGTAAATCGACCTCATGGCAGTTTTGGCTCCACTGACATAGCCACCATTCTCTGGAAAAATTGCATAGTGTATCTTAATCTTAATCTTGATTTTTTTGCTGTTGTTTATTTGTTTTTAGATCAGATTTAGCCTTATCTGAGAACAGGGTTACATGGGGGCAGATACTTACTGAACCGAAACCTGAAAGCAAACAGCCGAGACGGAAAAGTACACAAACGGCCACGTTATGTCACTAGGTGGCATGGGACGATATCGAAATTTGGTGTCACGATTATCGCCAAAATAATTACAATTATATCACGATACTTAAATGATTAAATGATTAAAGTCACTGACAGTTTAAAAATTTTATGGATATGAATAATTATCATTTTAATGTTATGATTAAGTAGCCTGATTCATCAGCCAGTTTTACTTTGTTTAACTTTGTACAAATCGTCTGACTTTGCAGCGTTGGAATTCATTCACTCAAAGGTAGGAGGGCACTTTTTGTCATTTAACGAATCACTGCTATTTGGTCGTGACGTATGTAATGCACTGGTATATTAAGCTTTTCCCAAATCCCATAGGAAGAAGGGACAATAACGTCGTTCCCCTTGATAAAATTCACCAAACATTCTCTTTGTTCTGGCTTTAAATCCTCGATCTCGGGAATCATTGACAACACTGAATGTATGGCTCTTCGCTGATTGGCTGGTGACCGGACTTGCACTTTTGGGGGTTTTGCGAACCGTCTATTGTGATTTTGATTCCTAACCTAGTTGCTGGAGAGAAATGAAATTGAGCAGAGGCAGTAGGTGGTGCCAGCCTGGCTAATGATTAAGTCCCATGTTTAACAACTTTTATGTAATTGTACTTTGATCTAGGGGGGATCATGATGGATAAGCAACTGTTTTGGTGATACAATTGTGATCATCTTTGTTGGCGATTATCACGATTATATCAAATGTCCCACCAACGATTAGTGCCCTTTTTATCACAGTAAACGATATGATTGTTTACTGTTCCACCCCAAGTCGCTAAGTATTCATCTCACCAGTACAAAGTGTTAGCAGCGCGTCGTGCAGGAGCAGAAGTTTTCGCTTTGATCACAGGGGCACAGTCAAAAGCCAGGCCTACGCACATGTCACTAATAGAGCCATTCAAATATTTATGATGCAATCAGGAGACACACACGACAAAAGAATTAGCCAAAACTTTGTGCAGATGCTACGAAAATGCCCAAGGTGTTTTCTCAAGACATGTGGGTGTAATAAAGCAAAAAAAAGATTATTATTTTAAATTGCTCACATGATGTTTCCAGTCCACAGGAGCAGAAACGAAAATACGCTGCTCGATAACATCTCTTCCCCACTATCTGGATATATCGATTCAACCAGTGCACATCAAAGAAAATGATAGAAAGATATTGTAGATTTGATTAAGCGTGCTACAGAGGGAACTGATGGAATAAATTAACATCAGCCTGCTTTATTTTTTGTCATTAGAAAAGAAATAGTAGCTTGTAGCCTTTTCAACATCAAATATGCATATGAAAGAAGAATGTTATGCAAGGATACATTAAGAAATTTTAAGTAAGGCAAGATGCATTAAGCTTTCTCTACTCAATTTACTTAAAAGAAAATTGGAGACAGATCGTTTTTTCTCATTCAAAGCAAAGCCACGATTGACTCCTCACCGCGCAGCTCTTTTGACATGAGACAGCTTGTTGCGCGTTAGCCTAGACATTGCCCCATGTGATCTGCCCTTAATCATTTCATCGATTGAGTAAGAAATCAATTTGAGATGCAAAGGAGACGGCGGACATGACAGCTACCCACGCATCACAGTATCATGGTAGAGGAACTTGCTACACCGTCCTTTGAGCAAAATGTGTTTCTTGATAAGGCGTGATTGAAATGGCGCAGCGTGCTTGATCTGCTCGCTACTCAGATCGGCTCCGACTGTAGCTTTGTACCTGACAACTTGTGATTCCCCCAGTCGCTGTGAGCAAAAGCTGGAGTCCATTTGTTCCAGATGAAAAAACAGATCCAATATGGCCGCCTTAATAGGAGCGACCTCATCAATGCAAATTCTTTAAAATAGATGCAGGTTATGGATTTTGGCAGTTACAAAGAGATGGCTTTCGGGAACAATTTATCTTCATCTTACAGGAGTCTATTTAAATATATACATGACAGGAACTAATTATTATATAGATTGCCAGAAAGTAAACAAAAACACGAGCGATTCAGTGCCAAGTAGCAGGTATCTTGGTAGAAACTTCAATGAAGCCAATTTTATCGTGTGCAAAAACAAACTTTAAAGTTTAACCGGCCAGAAAGTGTATTTAATTAAGAAGAGATATGCATGAGGAAACTTTGTCTGCCATTTATTAAGTGCCTGCTTTGTATCAAATTAAGGAGCTATTTGCACAATATGTTCGAGATAATGCACTCGTGAGCTGAAGTGCTGTGTGTGAATTGAAAACAGGATAAAGCTACAATTAACGTTTTGCTATCAAGTAGGGCCACTACTAGAGCTGTGGGGGCAGTGTACAAGATGCTTTTTGGGCCTAAATTTACAAAGAAAATTTAGATTTCTTAGATTTTCTATGTCCTTAATCTTGACAAAATCAAAATTACTCAAATAAAATAGCGCATTAACACTATTATTATATCAATACTCCATACAATAAATGATTAAATGTCCTATGTTAAGCAAAATTGACTCTTGTGCACTTAAATCAGAACAGAACACACTTGGAGTTGTGTTCTGTTTTATTCACACATGTTTGAATAACGTTTTATTATTAGACTGTCTATATCCCCAAACCTCAAAATGCTCTGTTCCACCATGTGATGTCATGAAGTGGTAGTTTTACAGTTAACAGCTGCATTTAACATTTTGTTAGTAGAGATTGGAATTCATGAGCTAATTCATTATCCAGATAATTCAAGTGAATGCGTACGTTGTTTAAAAGCATGTTGTGGAGTGCTTCCTGGATCACCACATGACATCACAAGGTGGAACAGAGTGTTTTCTGCTTGAGAGAAGAACTCCTAAAGCCTAAATATGCAGGTTCTATGTGTTAAACATGTGTGAATGAAACAAAACACAACTCTAGGTATGTTTTTGACGATGAAACAACATTAGGAACCAACACAGGTCAGAAAAAAAGCGTAATACTGTATGTGCCCTTTAAACTGCAAGTGACACTAAGTAATGGACATTGGGGGGCTCTTGTGACCATCAGCAATATGCACACGCACTGCTAAAATTACAAAACTGAGTCGGAGTCAACAATGCGCCTATACATGCCTGTTTTGACTGTTGGGAGGGAGACAGACACAGGGAGGACACGCACTGCATAATATACACTTTATTAAATTATACGGTAATGTTATTGGGCCGTAAAGCACTGGTGAACTTTACAAGCCTAAACTAGAAGACAGTTTTGAGGCCTTGGGATTGCTGTGGCCAGTCCCAGCAGACTCATAGCTCACAGATATGAAAGTAATCATATATAATCCTACGAATCGTATCAGTGGAGAGATAAGAAAACAGTGCTGAGAATTATGTCTGTATAAATAGTGGCATAGTATATTGAGCTGTAGTGTGAATAATGACTCTTCTGTGTAGCATTCCTCAACAATTTCTCATAGTCTATTAAATTATCTTAAACCTCTCATACTTGTAGACTTTTTGATTCATGCGCTATTAAATGAGAGGAGATAGTTTGAACTGAGAAAATATAGAGCTAGAGGTATGACTATAAATACTGACACTGTTTTGTAGAGATTTGTAATATGGTAGTAATTCTTATTAACTCATTTAAATCTGTTAAATTATCTTGTCAACATTTGCTTTCCATGTCATGTCTGGTATGAAGTCACCACGTACTGTATAATATAGCTGAAACTAAGATATCACTGTATGAATCCTGTCATTATAAGTATCTACTGTGAGTTATGATATTCCCAATTTGCATAAAATCGTATTGCATTAAAGATTTACTCTTCTCATGAAATGCCAAAAACCTTTACGCATGAATTGGTTTCCCCCGGTAACTGCTGTCAGAGTGTTCAAACTGTCTTCACAGTGGGGCGTACAAAAATAGTAAAACGTGTGTGCAGATAAATCAATTCAAACTTTATATAAAAATAGGCTAGTGGTAGTAATATTTCTCATCTACTTTTCACAAATCTGTATTATATTATGCTGACATGCACACACAGGCCTAAATTGTACAATAAGCCTACTATGAACAGAATCCAGCTCTTACAGGTGATGTAATAGTTAAAGTGTCTCTTAAACTCCAGGCCCTTGAGCTCTTGAAACTTGATCATTTTTCTCATCTACTTTTTTTTTTTTAAAGGTCCCGTATTACACAAAATGGATTCTTGTGAGCTGTTAGTCATGTTATAATGCTGTTACCTCATCAACAACATACCATGAGTTGTGTTTTGTTTCATTCAAGCATGTTTAAGTGACGATTTATTTTTAGTCTATCTACATCTCTAAAGCTCAAAATGCTCTGTTTCAACTTATGATGTCATGAAGCGGTAGTTTTCAAGTTAACAGCTACGTTTTTTACCTTTTGTTCAGTAGAGAGTGACAATTCTAGGTCCGAAATAATCCAAATGATTCTAGTTGAGGTGTATAGAGAAAGCACAGTGGAGCACTTCCTGTAATATTTATGTGTAAATGGAACAAAACACAACTCCAGGTCCGGAAACAACATTATAACATAAATCAGGAAACAACATCGGACCTTTAATCTGTATTATATAATGGTTACCGGCACACATAGACCTACATTGTACAATAAGCCTACTATGAATAGAAGGTAAATGGAGCACTTACAGGTGATGTAATAGTTGACGTTCCTCTTAAACTCCAGGCCCATGTAGTTGGGGCTGAACTCTTGAAACTTGATGGTGAATTTGATGTCTTTCTCCGGCTTGTTGCAGGTGACCAGTACATTTGGGTCCAGGACTGTACTGCAGCTCTCCGCCTGCACCTGCTTCACCAAATACAGCTTGTAGTATTCATAGTCCCTGCCCGCGTCCGCCTTGGGGCAGATGATGTCCAGTTTATCCCCAATGTCCGGGTAGATCACCAAGCCCTTTCCGGCAAGAAATCTGCAGAAAAAAAACAAGATGAAGACATATTAGAGGAAGTCTGAAAACGCAGGTGTAATTGCACATAGTTTATGAGGGCTTAACACCTTGAGCAACAGGAGTTATGGGTTTAGATTTGTCTGGAGAAGGCTTTTAGGCGGTGTGTGCACTTAATTTGCCACCAAAGGGAAAAAAACACAAGTACGTGTAGCAGCATGACATTTTTCAGAGCTGGTCGACAGTGTACTTCACACAAATCCTCTGAAGTTATTTCCCATACTTTGGATCAGAATCAAAGCATACCAAAAGTTTTCAGGGAGCGAAACAAGATGGTCGCACATAAAATGGCTGCCGCAGAAATGGCTGCAGATGGGATTAAGGCCAAAGAATACCAGAGACTTTTCCCAACACCGTTTAACTCCCAAACTGAGACCAGTGTTTAAAGTTAATATTTATGTGCTTGTACTTCACAAGTGCAGAGTTTAGGAGGAAAACAGTGGTCGAGGGTCAGGGTGAGGGTTAAGACTCCTGGTTCATCTTCTCCTGCTATGATCATGGAGGGGGGATTAGGATAATCCATGTGGCCTTACTGTACCTCTGCACCTCGCTCTCCGCTGCCAACCCAATCAGATCATCTCTTGTTCTCTTTTATTCGCTAAAGGTGGGGAACAGGAGGAGGCTCAGTGTGAACCGTGGGGGCGGGGGGTTGTTATGCGATTGGGCAGTTTGTGTGTACTGCCCTGTGTGTGTGTGTGTGTGTGTGTATATGTGTGTGTGCTGTGGGTCAGCAGAATGGGCTGAGGTTGCAGTGTGATGAGGGGGTGGGGGGGCAGATGGGCTGAATCATTGTTCTGGACTTGTTTGAGGCTTAAAATGTCAACATGGTTCAGCTCTGCTGTCCCAGTTAGCCAAGCATTAACCCAGACAGGCGCACTGACCAGGGCTGTTTGTGCACACTGTGTATGTGTGTGTGTTGTGGTCGCAGACAGCGGGCGCAGCAGCAGGGCTATCTGCTAGATCTGCCCATGCCAGCGGATTTAAGCAGGATTTAGCAGCGCGCAATGCATTTGTTGTTCTTTCTGATCCCTCACGTTTTAACAAGACATCAGGGCTGGGCCTGGCTCTGTCTCTCCTCTTCCTCCTTCTTGTGTGAGGAGGTAATCTCACCTTATCTCATGCCCCCCATTTCATCATCACACACATCATTTCACCGCTGACATCTGACGCTCACACAGACACACATCCGAAACACAGACAGGCCTCTGCACACAGACAGGCCTGTAACACAGACAGGCCCATAACACTGTCAGGCCTCTGCAGACAGACAGACTGGTAACATAGGCCTGGTGCCTCCTGAAAGAGTCTGATAGAGCCCAGTCTGTCTGGGCAGGGATGGCCTGATGTTAAACGCTGGCAAACAGCCAGCCATTGTACAAAGCGATCATTTAAAAAGTCCCATTTCTGCAGAGATACCCCCATGAAAACGAACATGATTGGATTAAAGCTTTTCCACAATGCATGGTCATTCTTCATAGACAGGGGAATTACCAATAAATGACTTCATTCACAAAAGAGATAAATGCAAAATGAAATTCTCAAAAATGTGGCCCACCCCCTTCGCTCACTATAATGTCATGAAAGCCTAAGAGCAGCAGAGCACGGCTTGGAGCGGGTGAGACGTTATTTCCAGGCTATTGTCTGATGCTTATGGGGCTGTGGGGGACTGTGGGGGGCGGCGGCGGGAGAGGGGGGGCTGCACTAATTCAAGGGCTGATAAGAGCAGGACGTGGGGTGTCCTTTGTCCCGTCTCACCCGACAATTTGCTTTCTTTCAGCAGCGAGCCTCATTTTGCATGTTCCCCGTGTGCGAGCGCGCCTCTGTGCATGTGCGTGTGTGTGTACGTGCACGGCAGCCCTCATCACGTGCACGGCTCTATGAAGACATGGACACAATCAGTCTCTAATTGGATCTACAAGATGCATCAGTGAGGCATAAACACGTTTCCATGGCAACGTTAGGCTTCCCTTCCACACACACACACATACACCTTTAACAGCTCCTCTCTGTTCCCCTACAATATGGGTCCCCTCTATTTCCACTGCGATCTCATTCCCTTTTTTCTGGCTTTATCCTTCGTTCTCATTCACCTCTTCAACATCTCTCTCATTCTGTTTCTCTCATCACCCCCTCCACCCCCCACCCCATTTCACTTGCCCCCCTCCCTCTCTCTCCCTCTCTCCCTCTTTCTCCCTCTCTCTCCCCCCGCCTACGACACACAAAAACACCTACAGAAAAACAAGCGTGAAACCAGACGCGCCCTGCAAACATCACAATACGGAAACTGGATGCGTCCCACTCAACAAGTATAGTGCCTATTTTCTGCTTCTCTGCACACAACTTTTTTTTTAAAGCTTCTGTTTAATAAGTGTTACAAATACAAGAAAGGCAGTTGGCTCTGATTTAAAACAATTGACTCGCATACTCCATTTCTCTCTTTCACATCCCATTTATTCCGCTATCAAAGCCGGCTGCAACAATTTAGATGAATAATTAAGATATCCAAAATCTTAATATCTTAATATCCCTGAAGGATTATATCACAAGCTGGCCTCTCTGTCATTGATTCAATTTTGAGAGAGGGCCGTGCTTGGAGTTGGCGGTTAGATAGCTATCCTAAGTGAATTCTGCGCCTGTATTTCCCAGCCTTTGTTAACTGTCTGCTATAATGAGGCTCTGGCTGCTGTGGAGGTCTGGAAGCGCCTTCGCAGATGGGAAAGAAGCTACATAAAAGAAATAGGGCAGCAATTAGTGTTTAGCCCAGTTTAAAAGCCCTACACTTGGCAAGCCGCTGCACAGCTCCAGTCCAGGATGTGAATCTAAACTGGTGGGCTGGGACTTTGTCTTTCTACTGGCTTAATCAGAGCCACTCCGGTGCTACACACAGCCGTGCAATGGAGAGGAGGAGACGAGTGACTGACGATTATTGTACTTTTGAGGAGGTCGAAAGGGAAACCGGGGGCTGCAGCTTCAATTGCATCTTTCATTCTTGTTGTCCAGAGACTTTATAAAACCTGTTGACGAGAGATGGAAGATACAAGCAACGCTCTGGGAACTGACCCCGGCTGCAAGGGACGATGTATCCCCCCCTAATGTCAAACGAGGTGGATTTGCCTGTACCAAAGCAAATAAAGACAATCATTTTCCAAACAGCCAAATGAGGTTGGTTTTGTTTCATCTGGATGGCTCCATGGCGTGCTCAATCCTGTAAAGAGCTTATCCAAACAGAGCCACGGCGGTGAGAGAACAGAAAACAACGTGGGCCCCCTCCCTCTCCTGTTACATTCCACTGGTGAATATGAGCACATGATCTCACATATGCCGCCCCACACACATGCACGGATGTCCAACGCACAAAAGAACCGTGGGGTGCATCCTGGACCTTCCCAGCCGCTCCTATTCAGCCTCCTGCCCTGGCGATTTTCAGAATAACGCCGCCTACACTAGCCCACTCACTCAGCCCCTCTCAGAGCCTCCATGGACCCCCCCTCTACCCCTGGCGCTCTCCACCCCCGTCCAGAGAGCTCCGAGCGAGCCGGGGCACTGGCAGCCGGCCTGGGTCGATCTGTGAATGGGCCCGACAAACAGGAACCGCGGAGAAAGAGGCGCAGCCCGCTCACATCCACAGAATGTGTCAGATTGATTTGTTCCTCGTGAATGGCACCATGAACATGCCATACATATCAATTCAAATCAATTACATGAACAGTGGTGGGACAGCAGCGGAGTCCAAGCCAGGGCCAGTGTATAAGCATAGACTGATCCTCTGTATACGCACACGAGCTCAACAGGTTTTGGAAAGCTTTTTTGTTTTTTACTCGCCTTTAGTTTTTGTTATCGGGTCTACCATTTTCTTTCATGCTATTTCAAATGTTTCTGTCCAGGGTTTATGTTTATTTTAGTAGTATTGCTCCTCTTACGTCTTGACTGATTTCATCTTGGTACAATCCTAGTTTAAACCCCTCTTTTACTTTTATCTTTACTGCTAAGTCCACCTTTTAGTTTAGACCTGGTTAAGTCTAAATTCAAATCGATTACATGAACAGTGGCGGGACAGCAGTGGAGTCGAGGCCAGGGCCAGTGAATAAGAATAGTCTGATCCTCTGTCTACGTACACAAGCTCAACAGGTTTTGACATACTTTTCTGTTGTTTTCCTCATCTTTACTTCTAGTTTAGAGCTTTGAAAATTCCTCTTATCTTGTCCTCCATTTTATTTCATGCTATTTCAAATATTTCTGTCCCAGGTTTATGTTTATTTTTGTAGTAAATCGTGATCTTGGTGCAATCCTGGTTTAGACCTTTCATCTATACATATTACCATCCTATAGTTTTGACCAGGGCAAAACTAAATTCAAATCATTTACATGAATAGCGGTAGTACAGCAGTAGAGTCCACGCCAAGGCCAGTCTAAGCAGAGCAGCCTGATCCTCTGTCTGTGCACACGAGCTCTCAGACCCCCTCTTCATGCCCCGTAACCCGCTATTGTGTGTGACGCCAGAGACACTTTCTTTCTTTATCCTGTTCGGGGCTGTTTTATGACTTAAACATGCTTATACCCTGCACAAGTGCGGCTCTTAGCTTTCCTCCCATTGTTTGGAGGAGTCTGTCAATCAAGCAGAATGTGTCTGGCTGTTAAACTAGACTCACATAAAACTGAGCCAAAAGAGAGCAAGTCATAAATAACTCAAGTGTTGGACTGAGAACAGCCCCTGTCTGCTCATTTATAAATTACAAATGTAGGCTTTGTTTTTGAACGCCGCCGCAAGTGATTTACAACTTTCAATAACGCGGAAATGTTTTTGCATGTGTATCTAAAGTCTAATCTGTTCAAATGTTTAAATAAATCCAGGCTTTGCCTCCTTTCTCTTCGCCCTATCTCCTGTAAGTGGTCTGATGTGGTCCACCTAACCTGCTGCTTAGTAAATTATAACTAGCAAGACAACTTTAACTCCCTTACATGCA